TGAATAAATCCCATCATATTTTCATATTTTAATATTTTTATTTCAAAAGAAAATCTTATATATCCTGTATAAATATCCAATTTTCTTCATAATCATCGTATCTTTCGTGGAAACAATTTTCTTCTAAAAATGCATTAAAAATGCATGACAAAGTTATAAAGCAGTAAAAATATAATTGTCCCTGTCAATAAATTAAATGGAAATATCTTGGTTTATTGAAAACTTGTATTTATACGTTCGAAATATAATTATCTGTATAGAGAAAAAAAAACAAAAGAAACATTTTAAGATCAGATCAAATATTTTAAGTTCATTTTTCATAAATCCATATTTCTATATTTTTATATATCTAATGGATCGTACATACGTATTTGAAAATATCTAGAATTTATCGTTTTTTCTGTTTTTTTTTCTTTTTTTTTTTACGTAGGTTTTCACACAAAAGAATTTTTATATACAATAAGATTGTCATCAATTACATCATATGTAATTTTCATTTGTAAATTCGAAAAATAATTGTCTTTTAACATTATTAAATAATTAATTAATACATTTAAACTAAAGAAATATTTCTTCTTTCAAGAATATATGGTTTCTTTATTCTTTAATATCATATCTTTTATTACATACAATAAAATATTAGAAGGATATTGTTTAACTATATCCTAAGATATATAAAAATTTATTGTATGTTTAATAAGAATTTATTGTCTGTGTAATAAGAATTTATTACACATACATGGCATTAATTTATGACAATTAATTAATATGTATGATCTATTAGACGTATAAAAATATATTTAATATTTAAAATATTTGATATACATACGATAAATACAATAATAAATATATATATATATATATATATATATATATATATATACTCGTAAATAAGTGTATGCGTATTTGTGAGTATCAGATATATTTTTATTTTTCCATATGTTTTATTATTAAAATTCATTATTTATATTAAATATTAAAATATTGGCAAAAGTTATGGATATTTCTACAACAATCATCATTTCCATTAAGTATTTAATTATATGTAAGTATCATAAATACTGAAGTATCCTTGTTCTCAAAATTGTTACAACCTTGTATATACTTTTCTGAAATAATCATAGAAAGAAATAATTTTATAAATATCTATAAATTAATATGTTGTTTTTTTTTCTTTTTCTTTTTTTTTTTTTTTTTTTTTTTTTTATTTGTTGAAGATGTACAAACCATCCAAATTTTCTCCTCCAAATGCTCCATGACATATATATTTAACTATTGGCACTCTTGGAAAATATTCGAATACAGTTAATTCTAAATTATTCAAAGAGGTAGTACAATATTCAGAAATAAACATGAAAATTATAGAGTGCCTCTTTAATTCAACAATCTGTTTAATGTCCTCAATTTTATCTTCGAAGCTATGAACATCATCATTCATTTCGTCCAAAGATACAGTCCAGATTTGCATTTCAGTACCACTTATTAAAATAGCAACACATTCCGCTTGATCTCTGCATATACGTGAATTATGTTCCGAATTACAAACCGATAAATGATTTATAATCCCACCGCATACAAAAATTCTTTTGTGTGGAAACCTATGTAAAAAAAAAAAAAAAAAAAGAAAAAAAAAAAAAAAAAAAAAAAAAAAAGTAAAAGAAAAAAACGACAAATTCTAGATATTTACAAATACATATGTACGATCTATCAGATATATGTAAAAGTATATTTAATATTTAAAATATTACCATTTATAGAAATGCTCCACTAAATCAAATCCTATACAAGCCCCATAGAATATTTTGCATAATAAGATCCAACAGCTTGTTGTATTATTACAATCATTAACGAATAAACCTTCAATTGTAGTTCTTAATTTTTCGGCATTATTAAAGGAATTATCAAATAAAGTTTTTAATTCCTCACAGTAGATTCCCATTGTCCATGGATGTCTATTAAAAGTAAACGTTGATATTTGTATGTTTTGTAACTTAGGAAAACACATAGAAACGAGAAACTCTTCCTCCGATAAAAAACTGTCTGTGTTCACTGATACGGAGTAACAATTATAAGGTAAATATTTGCAATGGCATCCTTAAAAAAAGATTTAAAATACTTCAAATGACGATGTGGCATTCGTGAATCAACATATAAGTAAAATCAAACTTACTTTGTAAGTGTGTATCTTTCTTTACTGCATAAGTAAAAAACATACATAATATTGGTTTAAGCATGAAATATTCGATCATTTCTTTTTTTACGTCTTCCCAATTCTCATAGGATTTTATTTCTTTTTTGGTCTTTGTATTAGACGAAGGACCTCTTCTTTTTTTTTCATCAACAGCTGTTTCTAACCAAGATCTATAATTATAAAAAAAAAAAAAAATTATCATATAAATACACTTTTCGTATTATAGATCTTACAAATATAAAGTAAATGATATTAATTATTAATACATTCTGTTATAATATTTATATTAATAAATATTTATTATAATCTTACTTGCAAACTTGCGACGCATTACATAAATCCTGTCCATTTAAATATTTAAAAATGATACGTAAGACGTAATAATTTAAATTTTGTTCCATCTTCAATAATATTCAATATAACGGAATATATAATATATGTTCAAACAAATGATCGATATTATATCTTAAGAATTTTTGTATGATCAAAAGTCTTGTTCGATTTTGATCTACAAAAGAGATTTGTAAAATGGCAGGATCATTATTGATATTTATTCTTACGTAAAGAAGATATTTCAATACTATTGTACATTCACGAATCTTTAAAAAATACTTAATTCTTAAAAACACGCTTTTAAAGAATCTAGTAATTTAATAATCGTATTTCAATTTATTAAATTTCTTTAACTATATTTTATATTCGTTAAAATAATAAAACCGTATAAGATAAAAATGTAATATTTAACACAAACACATAAGTAACATTTAACACAAAGATTAAAAGATTTCGATTAAAGCACAAACAAATTTTTGTATATTATTATTACGTATTTTCACGAAAATTATAACAGCATATTGTATTCTACAAGAGATATTAAATGTTCGATGGAGAATTTTTACTTGCGACTTGAGACGTTGAATTGCGACTAACTATGCGGTTAAAATTCGGAAGAGAAACTCTATGAGAAAAAAGTATTTGGAAAGAGAAGGATTGATCTCTGATTGGTTACTAGCGTTGATACGAAAATAAAAAGATCTTTAATTTGTCGCGTGAAAGTATTTGAATGCGTGAATGCCTGATGTATAGCTATTCTCTGGTAAATTTAAATTTATTAAAATTATTATTACATTTAAATTTATTAAAATTATTACAATTATTTAACAGAAACTTTTTTTTTAAAGTTATAATTAATTTATATAAAAAGAAATTAATAGAAAAGTCACGGTAGTGACTTTAAGTCGCAGTAGTAATTTAGAAAGTCGATTTAAAATACGCCGATCCATTTGCTTAACCTTTCGTTGATATATTAAAGCGTACGAATTGTGAATCATTTTTATACGATGTTTTTTTTTAATATCTCTAAAACTCTAATTGGAGTCTTTTTGATAAAAATGTCATAGATTTTTTTTTAATCGAACCTTTACTATGTATATATATGTGTGTGTGTGTGTGTGTGTGTGTGTGTGTGTATGCATATATTTATGATCTATAATCGCGATTTTTTTTATTATCAAGTACATTAACCTTCACAATACAGTACACTACTTAAGGTCAATATGATGCATTGGGCTAGAAGGGAGCAGGGAGGGAGGGAGGAAAAATTCTGACAACACAAATATATATTATACTGTTATCATGCTATTGCCACACTGACAAGTATCAAATTGAGAATATCATCACTGTTGCTACACTGATAAATACTATAGAGATAATATCAAAACAACACGTGTAAACTGTAAAGTAGTGACCTACTTTTTCGTGAATCAATCTTTATAAGATAATTCAAAAAGAGTTTTAAAATGATTGTAGGGAATTTTTTTCTTTTTCTTTTTCTTTTTTTTTTTTTTTTTTTTTTCCTTATTCCTTCAAAAGTCGCATTAAATTTTTTTCAAGAACTATATCTATAATTATGTTGCATCTATATTTTTAATGAATACTGAGACATACGTGAAAAAATTCAATGAATATTATAAGAAATATTTTGTTTTTTTTTTGATGATTAAACAATAAATGAATGATATAATGAATAATTAAAAAAAAAAAAAAAAGAAAAAAGCAATTAAAAATATATCCTCTATCTTGATTAAAATGATGTTCAAAATGATATTCAGTTGCGCTGTGTAGATTGATAGCCAACGGCATTGACAACCAAGCACGCATCTACAATTCTCTATCGCATAATTTCCGACATTGTTTCATCTTCCAATGTCATTAGATATATCTGAATGCGTAAATAAAAAATGTTTATTACCCATTAAATGAAATATTAAATCAAGAATGATTAATTCTAATCTATAAATAACTCTGGAATGTGTAAATAAATGTAACACGTCATTTATTTCACATTAATAAAATCACACAAAATTTTTTCGATTTAGAATATTTTTTCTTTTTCTTTTTTTTTTTTTTCATAATGTTTCCATTGGTTAAGATAGAAAAAAAATAATTATTGAAAAGATAGAAAAGAAAAAAAAAGAAAAATGAAAAATTAATGGTGATCTCGAAGAAGATGATTTGAGAAAAAATTCTTTACAATTAAATTATACGAAGGAATTGTCATTTGTCGTATATCACGCAAAAAAAAAAAAGAAAGAAAGAAAGAAAGCAAAAAAATAAAATTTAATAATAAAAATTGAAGAAAAAGTTTAGATAAATTTCTGTGATTTAGTTGAAAGAAAATAAAAATCATTGACGTTAATCGAGAAAATGTCTTTGTAAAATTTTGAACATTTTCAAGATTTCTTTTACGACGAATGTCAGTGAAACCTGTAAAATCTGACAAGCACGTCCATTCCTGATCTTGTTTCAG